ATTTTCACAATATAACGGCCCAAATTAAAACGACCACGACGGGTGGAATACGAAATGATGAAAGTAGGTGGACTGCTGATGGATGGACCGATCCCTATCTGGATCATCTAGCTCAATAATAGAGGCCGCCGAGTGGGTGTAATGGAACAAGCTTTTAAGATTTACGGGCGAAAAAGTGCATTTAATTAGTTGGAAACAAAAAACACATAAAAAGAAATCACTCGCGCCGCCGGCTATTTTTAACTTAATTAAAGCCCTTTGATGCTGAGATTCGCCTACATCTCCGCGCCGCCGCTCGCGCTTTTTCTCTCATTCTCTAGAGCTGCTCGCTTGGAAATTCGCCCCGGGATGCAGTGGCCGCGCACTCGGCTGCACTAATCACCCGCGACCCGCGGCCATGCGAACAGACTAGCCCGCAATTTGCGCTGTGCAAAGCAATCGAGGCCGGTCGACAAAGCGGTTCACGCACCTTGCGCACAAAAGCCATGGTTCTATGCAAAAAAGCAGGGCTTTGAAATTTATTTCACATCTTTTTTTAGCAGATTGAAAACAAAGCATCTATCAAATTATCTCTTAAATTTTATGATTTGTATACTTCATAAAGAAAATTTGAATGTGTATGAAAATAATTTGGACGTGGAAAAATCGTATGTTATGCATTGTATTTAAATCACGCTTATTCAAAAATATTTATTAAAGGCTAGGCAAAAAAAAAATAGTCACCTTTCGTTGTCATTATTGATTTAGAATTAATCAGCCCTTTTAAAATCTTGCATCACTTTTATTTCTCCTTGCACAAGATAGACATAAATTCTAAATCACTTTTAGTGTTGCTTTTTTCAGAAGGTTAGTCAAACTGTCCTAAGAAATCTTTCTTAAGTAGATGCAAGGCGAGAATTAAGCAGATTTTTCAGGGAAATAATGCAGAAATATTGCTCAATTTCGAGCGTTTCCAGAGCCGCGAGAGTGTGCCGGCGTAAAGGAGTCATTCCATAACTCAGGACTACGTGTCACTATCTCTCTGAGGTCGTCATATATTTATTTGATAATCTACCCACATGAGGCAATAAACAAGTAATTTTGAATGGTCAGGTGTAGGTACCCACATAAGACGGTCGGTTTTTTTCTCCACTATTATGGCGTATTATTTATTATTATTATTCCCATAAAAAGCGGCGAATGAGTGACGGAATTGCTTACAAAAGGTCTATTACCGCGCTTGTCTAATAATTCGCCCAAATTTTGCGCGTAAAATTAAATGTTCTACATTATGGGGCCCACATTGGGCTTAATGGCCCGTGCTTGATCAGAATTTATTCTTCCGTGCTCACTAGCTCGCGTGGATGACTCGCAGAACTGAAAATTGGCCTTTTGAAGATACTTTAAATTTGACTTTGCGTCTAATCTGAAATAATAAATAATCAACAGAATAAAATCAAGTTGAATTTTGTTCTTTGTTGGATAAATAAGAAATTAACTCAAGATTTGTGGCTGATAAAATAACAATTAAATTAAAAAAAATCATTATATTTCAAGTTTGGAGAGAAATTGATTAAAATAAAAATTTGTTGCAAACAGACGTTCGCCAATATCATGTAACACTATCACTTATTGTGCCCCATAGAGAGGGCCCATCAATTAAGATTTAAAAAAAATCAAAGTGATAGACAAGAAACACTACAACATTTGAAAACTGATTCTTTTTTTAACAATATAATATACTAACAAACAATTTTGCCACTGTTTAAAAATTCAATTGAAAATATATTTTATTACAATATATAAACCGGTATAAACCATTTTACCATTTTTTAAGAAATTGTGTCTTTAGGTAAACAATAAGAAAACTATTCTTTGTTTTATTGTGCGGCCAGGTAGGTGCCCATCAGATGGGTGCCGTTACGGCTGGAGGGGGTGTTTGACGGGCGCCTCTCTATTACAGACAAATCCACGAGCGGCCCTCGTCCACCCCCATATCGCAACCTGCCAAAATTATCCAGGGTAATTGACGGTTATATACCCCGACCAGCAGGTATCAACAGCAAAAGTGTCCGTCAAACCGGCGATTATGATGAAATACTTGCGGCGCGCTCCAAAAAGCCTCAATTAATTGGAGCCGCGCGCGATTCCTACTAGATTCCTACTAGATTCCTTTTAGGGAGGAATTCGACTGGAAAGAAGAGATCTCTCAAATTATATACCAAGCACTTCTAAGATGAAACCACACGTTTCGCACAGCCTATCGCCGCAGGTTCTCTATCAGTTTTTTGGAATTCCTCCATCAATTGAAATGTTCTAAATAAATTTTGATGTGAAATTTAATTATTTTTTATCAGCTTTAGTTGTAACAAATCAAAATCACATTATAAAAATGCAAAATTGTGAAAGCTGGATAAGAGATAAAGTAGTTTTCTGTTCTCTTCATTATGTTTTTTCAAAAATAGGTAGAACTAAATATTTTATGAACTTTAAGGATTTTTAATTGAAAAACTTGATTATAAAAAAACGTTTAAAAACTAAATAAACCCTACAAGAAAATTCATAACATATATTTATAAAAAATGTCTTGTTTTTCATTGCTCTGTAGATTCCACGCTAAAAATTTTTTTTAATTCCCTTACAAGAAAAATTAGCCTTTTCCATTTTTCCATACATTAAAATCAAGCTAATGAATACAATAAAAACGGAGAACCACTGGGGCGGAATAATTAAAAAATCGTTAATTAGTCCTGCCCACGAAAGATATATATGCATTCAAACACAACCACGCCGCATAATGAGTTTTCCTTTGAGCTGCTCTCACGCCGATATGTTGTTAATTACAAAAGCTACTGAGCTACTCGCGCCAAGGATTTTAATACATATCTCACAGAGTGAATGATAAAGCGGGCAGCTCTCGTTCCAGAGCACTCTGGATTAAGCGCGTCGTGTAATAATAGCAATAATAATAACTCTGCTACCGGCCCATTTGTTATATACGTGGTTTTCGCTCATCCCGCAACCGGACAAGCCCTTTTCTTTTACCACTCGTGTTTTAATGCTAATGAAAGCCAAATGAAAGATACCGCCTGCTCTCTCATGCTTATGTTGTGCTGCCGCGCGATAATTGCCGGCCCAATAAATTAAGAGAGTGCTGTTCTCATTGTGATTCCAATGCGATTTCAGATCGAATCCAAGCGGCATGAGGCATGAGTAACTACGGAGACGTTTCTTCATACACTGCACACTGATGACAATGAGAAGCTGCTTTTTCCCGGGTTTTGAAAAAGTTATCAATTTTTATTATTATTTTATTCTCCATTACTTTGATATTTTAAATTTTTGTATTTATTAAATTTATTTAAAATGAAATATATTAATAATAATTTATATCGCCAATCAAGGAAAATAATATTGCTTTAATAAGTTTTATTTTTTTTTCTCATTATATTTTTGTTTTGTGTAATATTGAAATAATTTTAACTTCAATTTTAGGACCCTGCAATCAACTTTTCAGAATTAATTCTTTCTTCAAGAAATTTTACTTCAAAGTTTTCACATGACAATCGTCTTAGAAGATTATTTAAGAGTTTTACTATGAGGTAGTACAATACAATTATATCTTATTATCTTTTTACTTCATTTTTCATAAGCTTTAGTCTGCAATTTCAATTTTAACCTGCATAATTTTTGCTGCAGCTTCAAAAATATTATTCCTGATATTATAATATGGAATTTCCCACAATATTTTCTCATTTCAGACCGCTATTCTGATTAAACTGATGAATATTCAGAAAACATAATGTTACACAAGGAAACTTAAAAAGTATGTCATGCAACTGCAGCTTTCATTAAATGGCATGTATTAATAAAAATTTTCCTCTTTCCTCATACCATAGCACAAAACGAAATGCATTCCTATGAAAACGCCAAGAGCAGCCCATGCAACACTCCAATTTCCAAGAGCTGTTATAGTTAGATTTCCTTTCGGCGTGTGTGTATTAATATCAGCGTGCCCTCATAAAAAAGCAGCACCCACATCAATTTTCCTGGCCTCGAAAGGAAAGGTGCCCGGCTAATATAATAATAATCATCTCTGCTCTCGCGCACGCGGCGGCGTCTCCGCTTCTTTGCTTTTGTTTTCTTCGGAATTGGCAGCCCGGGGGCGGCAGAAAGGCGGCTAATCACCTCCTCCACCCACCTCTGCCCTCCGCCTCGGGGGCGGCCAGGCTCCGAAGCTGCCGCCACCCCCGCAGGCCCCGCCAGCGACCTAAGCGATTATTAGTGTGTCGGCCGCATGAAGAAAAGAAGAGGAAAAAAGGAAAATGATACGGTTGACGATAACTGGGGTGAACCACTAATTGGGGCCCACGGGCCGGTCGTTTTCATGGAATAGGCCGTAAAACGCGATGCGGGTTCATCGAAAGGTAAAAAATTGAGAAAATAACTTTTCTGTATATTCATGTTTTATAAAATACTATATATTTTTTTGCAGATTTCTGCCCCCAATTTTTAACTTGCTTTCTATTAGTAAGTATAGAATAATTCAACATAATTATGAGAAGTAAAAGTCGATGGGAGGGAAAATCTTGCAATATTACTCTTCAACACACCAAATACGCTAAAATTTTATTCTATTATCAATTTAACAAATGTTTAAAATTTAATAACCTAGCCATTATTGTTCTCTTTTTACATCATTCACTTTTTTGTCATTTTATTTGTATCTAATTCTAATATTTTTATTTTTACAATAATTAGAAACTTAAAGTTTTGCTCCATTTCCATTATTATCAGAGTGTTTAGTTAAAATCAATATTGTGCTATTGGCTCTATATTTATGTGTTTATTCAATTTACTTAGTAGTAAATTTGCAAATTATGAGTCGAATAAACGATATAATTTTAAATTTAACTTTTTTGACGAATAGTGCTGTCTTGCGTGCTGTGCTGGTTGCCGGTTCATTGGGGCTACTGGCTTAGGCCGCCGCAAAGGTGGCAGCACCACCTAGAAGTTCGTCATTACCAGCTGATTTTGTTTTGCATTTCCTCAAAGAAAAGAGACTCTTGAAAAACAAACACAATTGACCTAAAAAGGAGGCCAATTTCGCATTTTGCACCTTTACACGACTGTGATAATTTCATACCTGACTGCTTTAGTGATATGGTTGCTTGAATTTGTATTTTGCGTGAAGAGGAAACATGGTGGAAAACAAAGTTCACGTCAATTTCACCTGTCAAAGGTGTTTGCAGCCTCTGAAACTAGACCCTGCTTTCAGTGCACTTACTGAACAGACCATCGGTGAACTTTCAGGTATAAAAATCTTTGCTGTACCTTTGTGGGTGGGTTATTACTCTGTTTGTTAATGGAATCTGGAGGGCTTGAATGTGGATTTAAATTGGATGCAGAATTAATTTTCTGTCCAGAGTCGTCATTTTCTTTCTATAGAATTTGATATTGAATTCTTACTATTTTGTAAGGTTGCATTTGATTGAAGCTGTTGTATTTGTCCTGTCCAGTGCCTCTGTGTCCAAGTCCTGGAATTGATCTCGAAGCCCAAGCCTCTGGTTTTGACCGATTCATTCCTCCTTTTCGTCTGACAGACTCGACTGCTGCTGGCACTAATGGTTTTATGTTAGTTGGCGGAGACGGCGAGTACGAAGGATTCAGTCACCATTATAAAGTATGATAATTCACTAATTCATAATTTTTTTGAATAATTAAATTGAATGGAAAATGCATGAAATTTTTTTGCATTATTCTCATCACTTTGTAATTATTATTTTGCATATTTGAATCAGGTGACTGCTGGACTCTTTGATGCTCTCTCTAACAATTCGGACATCGATCATCCACTTTGCGAAGAATGCACTGATTCCATTCTTGAGTTGCTGGATCACCAATTGCGTCTCACAGAAAATGAGCAGGCTGACTATAAGGAGTACTTACAAAGGTATAAATAAATAATTTTGCTTCTATAAGCTGTAATATTTTTGAGCTTTTTTTTTTAATTTTCAGACTGCAAGAAGAGCAAAGTAATGATTCTCTGGAGGAACTTGAAGCCGAATTAGAAAAGGTAACAAAAATGTTGCACGTAACACTCTTAATCCACTTTTGAAACACACAGCTAACTTTAGAGGAGCAACAGCTCATTCAGGACTTGGAAAGTCTTAAGAAACAAGAGAGTGAGGCAAAGGCTGCTGTAGAAAAGCAGCAGGCTGCACGATTGCAGTTGGAAAAAGAGGAAGAAAAATACTGGAGGGAGTACACAAAGCACAGGAGAGATTTACTTCTAACGGAGGACGAAACTAGGTCTCTGGAGTGCCAACTCGTCTACACAAGGCAATTACGAGACATACTCCTCCAAGTAAAAATTGACTTCTCTTTTCCTCTAGGATGCAGCTTAAAAAGCTAAAAGACACCAATGTTTTCAATGCCACCTTCCACATATGGCACAGTGGCCACTTTGGCACAATAAATAATTTTAGGCTGGGACGTTTACCAAGTGCACCTGTCGACTGGAGCGAAATTAATGCTGCCTGGGGACAAACTGCTCTCTTGTTGGCCTCTCTTGCAAGAAAAATAAATTTGACCTTTGAGAGATACCGGCTAGTTCCTTACGGGAATCACTCTTACATTGAAGTAAGGCTTTTTTAATTTTTCTAGTATTTTATAGCTAATAAAATGCTGCATAGGTTTTGGCCGACCACAAGGAACTGCCCTTGTACGGCTCAGGTGGCTTTCGATTTCTGTGGGACAATAAGTTTGATGCTGCCATGGTTGCATTCCTAGACTTAATGCAGCAGTTCAAAGAAGAAGTTGAAAGAGGAGAATCCGGCTTCTGCCTGCCGTACAGAGTGGAAAAGGGAAAAGTTGAGGACACCACATCAGGCAACTCCTACTCAATCAAGTAGCTTATAATTAGCAAATTTTCTGACGTCCCTAATATCAATATATATTTTTTTTTTTTTAAGGATACAATTTAACTCGGAAGAGCAGTGGACAAAAGCTCTGAAATTCTTGCTGACCAATTTAAAGTGGGGATTGGCGTGGGTTTCTGCCCAGTTCAGCAATGAGGACGAAGACGTATAGTTCAAAGTATGAATAGTGATAAGTCTTTTGGATCATTTATTATTCATGGACTTTTTAGACGGAAAAACCATGTGAGGGCAAATAAGAAACCACCAGGACTAAGGACGTCTTCTCTCTGCATGTACTCCTTTGCTTCATCCACACTCATCTCAACGATTTCAATCAGTTCTCCTTCATCCACATTTCCACCACCTTAGAGAAAGTGAATAAATCAAGATCCTTGGGTGAAGTTATAAAAGTTAAATACAAACCTTTGGACGTTTTCATCTCATCAGTGACCTCTGCATAATACACGGTCTGTTTATCACCAGAAGCTCCAACACCAGACCTGAATATTGTTATTGTGTTAGCCACAAGTCAGTAATCTACGCGATTAATTATTAAACCTATATGAAATAATTCTTTGCAAATCGGTCGGTTTGATTGAATATCCACATTCCTCATGGACTTCTTCACAGGCAATCTCTTCCAAAGTTTTATTTTTGTCTACAATTCCTGCACACAGTTCAATTGTGAAACCCAGTTCGGCTGGGTACTGTTTGGTGTCAATCGTGACGCCTAACTTCTTGTCATTCTCTTGTACATTTGACAAGTATACAGCTGAAGTCATATACAAATTAATCAAGACATTTGCAATTATAATTTTAAATTTATGTATACCCGGTCGAAACTGTTTCACTAGTACAAGGACGTTTCGAGATGTGTTGAAAATCAGTATTGCCACGCTGCAAATATAAAAGAAAATTGGACTTTAAAATGATGACTTCTGCTGGTCTCACCTATCGTGGAGTTTAAGGAGGTCCCACCGTCTTTGACGTCCATCCTGGAGCAAAATTTGATTGCTTTACTATAAATTTTAAAATCGTCGTAACACAACTCATAAAAAAAATGTTAATAATGGTCATAAGAGATATAAAATAATTTGAATAGTTGCTGTTAAAAACTACACACCTGAGTAAAATACATGTGATAAGGCCGCACAAAAATTGAGTTCTCAGAGAACTGTTTGCAGACTACATTTTCAACTTTGTTCATTTTTCAGTACCAATTAATCTTAGTTTTCCAGATTATTGCAATTGAGAACTTTTAATTTTCCGTGATAACAGGGATCTATCAGGTTATTAGCTGTAACTGTCGTGCGATTAGTTTGCAGATCTTTAATAAGTAAGTGAGACTTTGGAGACTTTTTATCTTTTTTTTAGTACATAAAAAAGCAAACCACGCCCCCTCAGTTGTCAAGAAAAAGGGGGTGTGTCGATTCGGAGACAAGTGAAACAAAACATTTTGCAATCGTCTTGTTCTTGACCGTGCTGAAGTTAGCGTCATCCACATCCACATCCTCATCCACATGTGGATAGAATTGTTCCGTCAAACTCGAGCCACATATATTCCCATAAGGTTAACATGTCCACATCCACACCGTGTGGATGACGCTATCCTCATCCACATCCACATCCTCATCCACATCCACATCCTCATCCACATCCTCATCCACATCCACACGTAAAAATATTTTAAATTGAAATTAAAAAATAAAAATAAAAAATAACTTTTTTTTAATTTTGTCAAAATTAAATTAAATTATCTTGTTATCTTCTGTAAAAATTATCACAATTAAAATCACGCTAAAAAGTGTTTATCCACACGTGCACCCTCCATCCACACCGTGTGGATGACGCTATCCACATCCACATCCTCATCCACATCCACACCTAAAAATATTTGAAAAAAGAAATTAAAAAATAAAAATAAAAAAAAATTTTTTTTTTAATTTTTCTCAAAATTAAGTAATATTATCCACACAACAAATAAAAAAGTTATTTTTTATTTTTATTTTTAATTTCAATTTAAAATATTTTTACGTGTGGATGTGGATAAGGATGTGGATGTGGATGAGAGGATGTGGATGTGGATGAGGATGTGGATGTGGATGTGGATGAGGATGTGGATGTGGATGTGGATGAGGATGTGGATGTGGATGTGGATGTGGATGAGGATGTGGATAGCGTCATCCACACGGTGTGGATGGAGGGTGCACGTGTGGATAAACACTTTTTAGCGTGATTTTAAATGTGATAATTATTACAGAAGATAACAAGATAATTTAATTTAATTTTGACAAAAATTAAAAAAAAATTATTTTTTATTTTTTAATTTCAATTTAAAATATTTTTACGTGTGGATGTGGATGAGGATGAGGATGTGGATGTGGATGAGGATGTGGATGTGGATGAGGATGAGGATGTGGATGTGGATGAGGATGTGGATGTGGATGTGGATGTGGATGAGGATGTGGATGTGGATGAGGATGTGGATGTGGATGAGGATGTGGATGTGGATGAGGATGTGGATGAGGATGTGGATGTGGATGAGGATGTGGATGTGGATGAGGATGTGGATAGCGTCATCCACACGGTGTGGATGGAGGGTGCACGTGTGGATAAACACTTTTTAGCGTGATTTTAAATGTGATAATTATTACAGAAGATAACAAGATAATTTAATTTAATTTTGACAAAAATTAAAAAAAAAAATATTTTTTATTTTTATTTTTTAATTTCAATTTAAAATATTTTTACGTGTGGATGTGGATAAGGATGTGGATGTGGATGAGAGGATGTGGATGTGGATGAGGATGTGGATAGCGTCATCCACACGGTGTGGATGGAGGGTGCACGTGTGGATAAACACTTTTTAGCGTGATTTTAAATGTGATAATTATTACAGAAGATAACAAGATAATTTAATTTAATTTTGACAAAAATTAAAAAAAAATTATTTTTATTTTTTAATTTCAATTTAAAATATTTTTACGTGTGGATGTGGATGAGGATGTGGATGAGGATGTGGATGTGGATGAGGATGTGGATGAGGATGTGGATGTGGATGAGGATGTGGATGTGGATGAGGATGTGGATGTGGATGAGGATGTGGATAGCGTCATCCACACGGTGTGGATGGAGGGTGCACGTGTGGATAAACACTTTTTAGCGTGATTTTAAATGTGATAATTATTACAGAAGATAACAAGATAATTTAATTTAATTTTGACAAAAATTAAAAAAAAATTATTTTTTATTTTTATTTTTTAATTTCAATTTAAAATATTTTTACGTGTGGATGTGGATGAGGATGTGGATGTGGATGAGGATGTGGATGTGGATGTGGATGTGGATGAGGATGTGGATGTGGATGAGGATGTGGATGTGGATGAGGATGTGGATATAGCGTCATCCACACGGTGTGGATGGAGGGTGCACGTGTGGATAAACACTTTTTAGCGTGATTTTAAATGTGATAATTATTACAGAAGATAACAAGATAATTTAATTTAATTTTGACAAAAATAAAAAAAAAAATTATTTTTTATTTTTATTTTTTAATTTCAATTTAAAATATTTTTACGTGTGGATGTGGATGTGGATGAGGATGTGGATGTGGATGAGGATGTGGATGAGGATGAGGATGTGGATGAGGATGTGGATGAGGATAGCGTCATCCACACGGTGTGGATGTGGACATGTTAACCTTATGGCGATATATGAGGCTCGAGTTTGACGGAACAATTCTATCCACATGTGGATGAGGATGTGGATGTGGATGTGGATGACGCTAACTTCAGCATCATTGTTCTTGGTGTTTAATTTTTTAATTCGTAAATTGAATACCTGCTTCTCACTTATAACTATCATAATTCGATCCGCCGAGAGAGTAAAAATTCTGAGTAAATTAACAAAAATTATTATCAAGAGAGTAGACATCAAAAACTTTTGTCATATGGCGTCAACAGAGGCATTGCTTAAAAAATTAGCACACGCTTTGCAAAATTATTTTGAAAAGGTGTGTTGTGTTAATTTATTTTGTGTTTTTGCATCAGGCAGTTACATATAAAAATTCAATTTTGCAGCTTTCTGAACTAGAGCATAGTTTTGATTCCTCCAAATTAACTCAAGAACTAGAAATTATGGCCATGACCATCTTCTGTTCCTCAACTATAAATTCTGCTAGGATTTTTGACACAACTAAGAATTTTGTATCTGAAATGCAGGTTTGTTATCATCTTTCACTAAAAACACAAAATTTTTTACTTTTTAATTTTATTAGCTTTTAGTGCAAACTTTTTACACAAGAGTGGACAATAAACTGGAAGAATTTCCCAAAGAAAATTTTATCAACGACGGAACAGACACAAATGAGCGCTCTGTCTGGAAATCTGATATTGCAGGGGACAGTGACAATAGCATGGACATAGATGATCCAAAGCCAGCCGTTGATTGTATAATATAATTTCTTATTTAAAATTTTTTTCCTATGTATTAAATTAATCTTTTCACAGATTGTGTTTCTAAACAGAAAGCCTTGAAAAGTGCTCTTGACTCTACTCATCATTATGAAACTAGACACCAGCGTATGCTGAGAGCTTCCCAAGTGAAGCAGACTGACAATTCTAAAAGTAAAGGTATTTTGCAATAATCAAAATGATTTTACTGTAATTTACTTTTCTGGTTAATTTTTTAGTCAACGGTTGCTCAATAATAACAAGGAAAGTTAGACAAGTTAGAGAAACAACCCCAGAACCTAAAGAGTGGCCTTGCTCTCTTTGTCCTAGGTAAAAATTTTTAAATTTATGCCTGAAGAATATACAATATAATTTTACACATTCATTTTCAGGATATTTTCTGACTCGGAAATATGCAATACCCATATTAAATTTGCTCATGGAGAAAGTAGTAGCTCAGATCTTAAAACGAAGCTCGACAAAAACTCGCAAATGGACAAAGACAGTGTTGATATTTTGTGCTGCTGCCAGTGCTTCCATACTTATAGGATCACAGAGGAATTCAATCAGCATAACTGCAATTTGAAACCGGAGGATATTCAAGAGGTTGATATTAAAATTGATTTGAAATATTTTTTTTTTTACATCTCAACATTTAAATTTCAGCTTGACCTTCCCATTAAAGAAGGAAGTGACCGTCTCATACGTCATTGGGAGAAGCTGATTACACTTAGTTTTTTAATTTGTGGCCAGTGTTGTGAAGAATACAGAAGTTTGGAGAGAATGATTTGCCACTTGGCAAATTGTAAGCCTGGGCCTTATTCTTGTGAAATTTGTAAAAATTCCTTTGACAACAAGAGATTGCTGAACTACCACAAGAAGAAAACGCACCGGTGATATAACTTAAACTTAATCATTTTCCTATTCAGCAAGTACTAATGGGTTTTCATTTTAGGGACACGCTCAGTTTTTTCTGCGACCAGTGCAACGCTAGATATAAAAATAGGCCATCACTTCAGAAGCACTTAGTGAAAAAACACGAAAAAATTGTGGACAACTTTGAATGTGATGAATGCCCAGAGACTTTTGATAAGAAAATTCTTCTTACTCAACACAAAGAGCGCTTGCATAATCTTATTAAAAATTATCTTTGTCAAGTATAAGATCGCAATCCGAATAATAACAAAAAATATAAATTCTTCATTTGAAGGTGTGTGGGGAGGGCCTCAGTAACCCACAGAGCTTGAAAATTCATGTTGCTAGGCATGTCAACAAAGAGAAAAAATTCTGTTGCGAACACTGTGATGCAAGATTTACGAGGAAAGATAAACTTGTATTTCATACTCGTACGCACACTGGTTGGTGAAAAAGAAAAAAAATATCATTTATTTGTCTAATGTATCCAATTTTTAATAGGGGAGAAGCCATTTGAATGCCAAGTGTGTTCCAAAAAATTCATAAGAAAAACAAAACTTGATGATCATTTACGACGACATAAGGGTGAAAAGAATCATGAATGCGACGTTTGCTTAAAAAAGTTTTTTGGTAGTCAAGACCTTCGTGCTCACCAGAGGTATGCAAAAATTAAATAAAAATAAATATATTTAACTTTGATCCGACACCTTTTTAGGAGGACCCATAAATCAAATTCGGAAAATATTGTCGAGGAAAAAGAAGACGAAGCGGATTGTGATGAAGATCGAGCTACTACAGTTTTGGATGGAGGCAACAAGGCTCTTGATGCCGCTAGCATAAAAGACGTCGTTCCCCAAGAAAACTCTCAAGATGTTACCATTAGAGACCCTGTTGAAACACTCACGCTCTCCTCGTTGGAATCTTTCATTCCATCATCGCAAAATATTGGGCCTACTCAAACTATTTTGCACACACCAACTTCTCTTCCTATGCAAATCCTGGCTCCAACAGGAACGACGTACCAGTCTCAAACCACACAATTTTATCAAGTACCCCAAACCTTGCAGATTCAGTTACCGATTACAGTTTCTGGCACATCACTTGATTTTGTTGATTTGTCACAAATTGGTGGCCAGCCAATAATTCTTACAAATTTTAATGTGAACCCAGTGAACAATTTGCAATTCTGATTTCAAATTTGCTGTGTAATAACCTATTATTGAATAAAATGTTGTGTTGATGCTCCTTAAAAATTATAAATTTATGAGAGATCCCGATTAAAAAGATATTCATTTGTAGATGAAAATACTCATATTTATATTGATCGACTTTATAAGGCTCAAGGAGTAAAAACTTGTAATATTTTTTGTCCAAATTGATAAATCTTTAGGAATTTTAAATATTTTAATAATATTTAAATACTGAATTCTTTATTAAAGTTAGTTTTAAAATTATGTAATTATGAACACTTTCCATATTATCAGATATCAGTCACTCCAAACTCGGCGAACAAACATACGGTACAGTACGATCTTCTATGAGGGCGATATAATATTATTGCTCCCGCGCTTGATCTTGAAAATTAAGATATCTTTATTTCTATTGGCCAAATACTGTTTAATTCTGCGTTGTGATTGGCGCTTCGTAGAAACACATGGGGGCGTAACCATTTGTGGGATTGGGAGGAAAGCATGTGATCATATTTTTATTCTCTTGATCACACGAGAATTATCTTTAAATTTTGCCTCATCCACTTAATCGATCAGCATTTTATTATCTATTTTACAAGAATAGTATGATGTGCTGATTTGTGTTTTACGTCGTGAAGGGTAAATTTTTTTATCTTTCAGATCTGCTGTGTGCTGTGTTCAAAAAGTGTGCGGTCATTGCAGTGCTGCAGTGGGTTTAGGCAGGTTTAGGAGCCTTCAAAAGTTAACTCAGCGTTATCCTCGGGCTAATCAAAATTGATTAAGCCTATGTATTTGATGAATTTATCTGGAAACACTAAATGGCATGGTACGGATTAGTATGAATAATGTAAAACATGAATTAAATGCTCTAATTAATGTTGTAAACCTTTTACTGGCAGGGTCAGTCCGTCATCGTGAAGGTGTTGCTGTTTGCCAGTGCCAGGGAAATCAGTGGTGAGAGAGAAGCTGAAATCCAAGTGTGCCAAGAAGAAACTTACAGCAATCTATTTAAGACAATAGTTCAGCGATTCAAGCTTGAGAAGCTTCAAAATAGCTTGATCCTTGCCATCAATGAAGAGTACCCTTCATCCGACGACGCTCTTTTAACGTTAAAATCTGGTGACCAAATTGCTGTCATTCCCCCATTAAGTGGAGGTTAGATTTGGGTTATAATGGATTGGTAAATAATTGAAATTTACTTAAACTAGGTTAGCATGGATACTGTTAAATTGACACATGACAAGTTGAGTGTCGACGAAGCAACAACCGTCGTCACATCTCCAAAATGTGGTGCCATATCTCTTTTTGTAGGGACAACAAGAGACAATTTTGAAGAAAAGAAGGCAAGTTTATTCTAGTTGGAAAATTATTTAAAATTATTTGTTTACTTATTAGGTAGTTCAATTGGATTATGAAGCATACGACTCAATGGCAGAAAAAGTAATGCGCGAATTATGCAGTGAAGTTCGCAGCAAATGGGCAGTGGAGAATATTGCAATATTTCACAGGTAAAATTTGGAAGAACTTAACATGCATTTGAAAAAAAAAAAATGATCTTTAGGCTAGGGACTGTTCCTGTTTGTGAAGCAAGCGTGATAATTGCTATTTCCTCGGAGCACCGAGGCGAATCTTTGGCAGCTGTGCAGCATACTATAAATGCATTGAAGGCACTTGTTCCGATATGGAAAAAGGAGGTTTATGATGATGCTAGCAGCAACCAACCTGAATGGAAGGCGAACAAGGAATGTGCGTGGAGTAAAAATAATCTCCCTCAAAATAAGTAGTTTCGTTTAGTTGGTGATTTGGTGGTTCATTTTCTTGGGGTTGGATATTTTGGTGCAATATCTGCATGTGATGTTTTAAAGTTTTCTCCACGTTATTGTTGAATATTTTCAATGCGCAGAATTGAAAGGAAATTTTAAAGTGTTTTAAAGCTTTTTAATGGAGAAAGTTTATAATAATTTTGTTAATTTTTATTAGTTATTTTGCCCCAATTTATATTGTGATATCTATAAAATAAAAAACATGACAAATAAAATGACATGTAGAATTGTGGTAAGCAGTAAAAGCAATTAAGACTGCGTACCACACCCACCTTTTAAAGAGAGTTGTAGTAGAAAATATTTTCAAATACAAACTTATTTTCAAATAAAAAGATTTTTTTATTTCTTTTTACTTATAGTCCTCCTATTACAATATTTCAGTAATAAAAAAGGAGCCAATTTCTGAAGACAATTTTGAGGAAGTCCCAGCTGTGACCAGCGACATGATTCAGATCAAAGCAAAGCCTGAAGAGGTTGAGTAATTAATTGAATAAATCAATTTAAAAAAAGCATCAAGTTTTAAATTCCTAGGTCAGACGCCGCATTGAGGCGTTTATCAGTAGGAAAAGAGATGACGTCAACAGAATCAATATCCGCGACTTCTGCAGCAGTGCTTGGAAGAATGACGGAGACAAAAGTGGTTCAGCAGACATGGATGACTCCTGCGCCCGAGTCAATGCTGTCCTTGTTCCAAGAAAGGATGGAAAGAGCCACTTGAAAAGTGAGCTAATTAAATAAAATAAAAAAATATTATTAACAAAAATACATGGTGAAGTCCGCAGAGTAGTTAACGAATGGGGACCTCAAACCAGAAGTTTTGATCCTGGGCCCTCAACCTCGGCCGAAGAAAACAAATCTCGGGATGTAATTTCTTTTCAATTTTACTTAGTCAAATTATAATGATAATTTTTCCCTCTAGTTGCCACAAGGTGTAGCAGAGAGACTTCAAAATATAGAAAGGCATCTGCAGCTTGAAGAAAATTCTGAAAAGCCTGTGGCTCGAGATGTCTATGCAAGGTTAAAAGTTATTGAAGATCGGATTCTTTTCTTAGAGGGAATATCGCCTGAATACTTTTCAAACTTAGTAAGTACAGAATAGTACTTGCTTTATTTGAATTGCTTAATCTTGAATATTTTTACAGCCACAAGCCCAAAGTCAAAATTTAACCGATTACCAACCTGAGAAGAAAAGAAAATATTCATCTAAAGAACTAAGGGAACGGTTGCAAGCAATGCAACGGAGCTTTCAATCATGATTTGTGAAACTTTAATCTGTAAGGGAAGTGAATTTTTTTAATCGAATAAAATTTTTAAGTAGGTATAACTAGAGTTTAACATTTATTTTTCATTTTGTTTCTACCACTTTCCCACGGTCTTCAGCAAATGTACACGAATATTTCATACAAGCAAGACACCCCCTTTTAGTGTCCAGACTTCTTCTGTGACTCTGCCCACTTTGCTTTGTTGGCGGGTGAGTTGGATGCCTTTTGGATCTTGTAGAAAATAGGAGCGCTAATTGCCAATCCGATAGCCCAGTACTTCCAGATCCACTGGTTGTTAATGTGCCACTTCAAAGGGAACTGGGCGATCTTAGCGGTGAAGGTGTAAGGGTACTTCATGGGACGTCCCACGGGTCCGGAAGCGGCGCCAGACATTTTTCTGCAGAAATAAATGAGTTTATCTAAGTTAAAAATGTTTTAAGAAGATCATTTGAGGGCGCAAAAAAAAATGGATTCGGAACAGCAAAAATTAAAGGTGAAAATATGCTTATGAATGTCTCTCTAATGGTCATTCGAGTTACAGCATTAAGAATTGATCACTTGGTTTATCTATTTTTTACCCTGGCTGTGGTATATTTATAAAAATATAAAGAAAATACCTGTTTTTTGAGTGAAATTGATCAGCCGAAGGAACAGATTTAACACTGGACACAGATCTCAATGAAGCAAGAACAGCTGAATAAAAAGATGGGAATCTTTTAAAAGGGCGGGAAAATTTATAAAGTTTAAAAATTTATAAATATTTGCTACATGCTATTGGCTACTGCCTACCATAGTTTTCGCATTTTTTTTATTCAAAGGAAAAAATATATACATAAAAATATTAATGTAATTCAATTCAATTTAATTGAATTGTGATTTAAATTTTCATTTATGTATCTTTTTATTTTTTAACAGCATAAAATATAATTCATTTTGTGATTTTGGAATTATTTTTTGTATTTTTTAATGCACACACAAAAATAAGGGAAAAATGCGAAAAATGATCCATTGAATTATATTTATTTTTCAAAGCATGTCCAAATTGGACTTAAAAAATTCTGAATTAATTCATCATAGATTCTATCAGCTTTACATCATTTCATTCACATCAACGTTCAACCAATCAGTCAAGTATTTGCATTTGCTTGGAGTGATAACGCCAGTTGCAGAACATTTTTCTGATATCTGTCACAAGGAAAAAAAAGTTATTACAATATTTGGAACCCGTATAAATTAACTTACTGGACATGCTCCACATGGCATACGGACAATGCTAGGCTGACTGATGAGAGGAGCAACTGCTCTGAAACAATCAACAGGGTCACCGTCAGGCCCTGGTTTGGTCGAGCTTTCGATTTTTCCATCGTAACCCAGACATTGCAGTATTTTCTGAATGTCATTTTCTTTAATTTGTACCTGTTTAAATAAAATAAAATTAGGTTTCACAAATCATTAAATTAATATCTAACCGTAAAAATCTTGAGTCTTCCGATGAATTGCTGAATCTCGGAGATTGTGGCAAAAGACATATTGCGAATTTCCAAAGGTCTCCCTTTCCCATTTACTACAGCAGCTGCAGACTTTTCATTTAAGTATTTCAGAGTTTCTTGAGTGAGGAGATCAGTGAACTCAACGTCAAACTCTTGTTCTTGATAAAAGGTTCCACCGGTAACTTTGCTGTCCGGAATCACATCGTACAACATGTAAACTTTTTTCTTTCCAGCCTGTAAAAAAAATTGTCCACATCCAGTCAGAGAAAAATAACATGATTTCCTTACCAAAACACTTTTGACAGATTTGATTTTCTTACTGGATTCCAGAGATTTCAAAATTTTGTTTAGAGGCCCTGGCATTAAATTGGTCTTGTAGCGAATGTCTCTAATCCATATCCCTTGGTTCCCCGAGCGTTCAATGTGCTCATAAACGATTTGCTCCTCAATACTCTCGAGATCTTTAGTACCAGCAGTCTGGGCTTTCAGTCTGTAGAAAAGTTCTTGATTTAACTGCAGAACTTCAATCTTTTTCTGAAAAGTATTCAAATAAATATCAATTAACTTTTTTTTTTTAAACGAAGCTATATTAAAATATAATAAGTTAGTAGTTTTTTTAATCTAACAATCACAAATTTACACGAATTTTATAATTTATAAGATTTGACGTATGTAAAGGGTCAATATCAATTACATTTCAACCCCCGATAAATAAACAATTCCATTTAAAAAATTGGCATAAAATATATATTATACAGCATTCGTACCTGGACAAGTAGTTTGTTCATGGCATCCAAGACATTTTGACGATTGTGACTGCTGAACTGCTCGTTGATTTTCTGATCGCTAATCCCATCAGGAAATCCTTCCAAAACCTCAAGGATCCTGAAATTTAGTTTGAAAATTGCATATACATTTTTACACATTTTTATTTAAACACGGGTCATCTCAAAGGCAAATATGAAACTGTGTTTTGTTAACTTACTCATTTAGAAGAGGCTTTTCACCTTGGGCTGCCATGGCTCGTTTTAAATTACTGAATGTGAAATTGAATCAATTTTGAGATTTAATTTGGGACGAAATAAGCTCTGAAAACACGAAAAATGTGGTCACTCCTTGCCTTTGCTCCGTGGTTCACCTTTCACCGGTTCAGCCGAAATTTTGTTATTTGTTTACTTTTGCGCAAGGCGCATGCGTATAAATAATTGACGTTCACATCTGCTGCAGAAATTTCATTGATCACAAGAATTTCCACGTTCCAATGCGGTTTTTGAGGGTAATGTCAACTTTCATCAGGCTGCATCCCATTTCTCTCCCAAGTTTGGCAATTTAAACGATCGAATGGCAGAGGACAAAGTGACCGAAGACATGTCCAGTGTCCAGATTACGGCGAGTGCTGAAGACGAGGACGTGGTCGACCCGTGGAACGTGACGAGCAAGTCTGACACTGGCATCGATTATGACAAGCTCATAAGTCAGTTCGCAATTTTTTTTCTTCAATTTTTCCTTACAAGAAATTGCAAATTTTTTCAGAGAGATTTGGTAGCTCCAAAATCGACGCCGCCGTCATTGAGCGGTTCGAGAAGGTCACAGGGCACAAGGCCCACCCTTTTCTCCGCAGAGGCATCTTTTTCTCGCATCGAGATTTGAACACCATCCTCACCGCCCATGAACAGGGCAAGCCCTTTTACTTGTACACAGGGCGAGGGCCATCATCTGCAGCTATGCACCTAGGGCACCTCATTCCCTTTATCTTTACAAAGTATTTTTTATAATTTTGACATACATACATTTGTTATCTTTTTTTTTTTTTTTTAATATTTTCAGGTGGCTTCAGGAAGTTTTTGATGTTCCTTTAGTAATCCAACTGACTGATGATGAGAAGACTTTGTGGAAAGATATCAAACTGGAAGAGGCTATAAGGTTGTCCTATGAAAATGTGAAGGATATCATTGCCGTAGGTTTTGACCCAGAAAAGACTTTTATCTTCTCTGATCTTGAGTTCATCGGGTAAATTATATGCAGATTTTTCAAAATATGAATACAATTTATCTCGTAGGCAATGCCCTGCGTTTTACCAGAATATGGTTCGAGTCCAGAAGTGCGTAACCTTTAACCAAGTAAAGGGGATTTTTGGTTTTGGAGACAGCGACGTTATTGGAAAAATTAGTTTTCCAGCAATTCAAGCAAGCCCTGCATTTTCAACGTCATTTCCCTTTATTTTTGGAAAGGCCAAGCTCCCTTGTCTCATCCCCTGCGCTATTGACCAGGTATAAAAAATTTTTGCTTTTAAAAAGGAGCTAAAAAATTTTTTTAGGACCCTTACTTCCGCATGACCCGAGACGTGGCGCCTCGAATTGGAATGCCCAAGCCGGCCTTGATGCATTCCACCTTCTTCCCTGCCCTGCAGGGTGCCCAAACCAAAATGTCCGCAAGTGATGATAACACTGCAATCTACCTGACAGACACACCCAAGCAGATTAAAAATAAAGTAATTAATGCCGACGATATGATGTGATTTAAAGATTAATTATTAAATTACGCAGATAAACAAACATGCTTTCTCTGGAGGTTGTGCAACCGTTGAAGAACACAGAGAAAAGGGTGGTAACTGTGATGTCGACATTTCTTATCAGTACTTGACCTTCTTCTTAGATGACGACGACAAACTGATGCAGATTAAAATAGTAATTAATTAAAATATTATACGCAGCATTTAACCAAATGCATACATTTTGCATAGGATTATACAAGTGGCGCAATTCTTACTGGCGAGTTGAAGAAAGAACTGATCACAATCCTGACAGCTCTGGTTGGGGCACACCAGGAAAGAAGAGCAAAAGTTACCACCGAGGTCATAAAACAATTTATGGAGATTCGAAAGCTCAAGTACAACTACAGCTGAGAATTTTCTGTTTAATACGCAATTTCATTTCACACCTGAATTTTTAGGTAATTTTAAATTATTAAAAAAATTTCAGCTCCTTGTCATTGGTTGCTTAAGCCTAGTTTTTTGCAGCCACCATTTTGCATATTTTGCAAATAAATTTGTTGAAAACAAAAAAATCGCATCTTTTTACTTATATTAACTTAAGTCTGGAAAGGGATTTAGGCAGTTACGAGAGAACATACTTTAGATCTCCAAGGATATTCGTACGCAATGGAGTCCATTTTTCTCATCGGGTTCTTTAACGATCAAGCACCATTAATTAAAATTGCGGTAATTCATTTAAAGAAAGCTTAAAAATTAAGTGATGAGATTGTGCATTTCTTTGTAAAAATTGATTTTATTAAAAAACAACGGCTCTACCAGTTTCCGTCACGTTCTGCAAGAAGGGTTCTAGTATTAGTCAGCGATCACCGCGTTAGCTCATCAAATAGTCGCAGACCCCCGGTAGAGCCGTTTTGATTTTGAATAAAAAAATTATCTCTTCTTCACTTCCATGATCATCTACTCTGATCTACTCGAGTGTCAATTTCTTCAAACATAAAAATTAAATATTTCTATTTGACTTTATTTTTTCTAACTTAAAATTAGTTATAACTAAGGATTGATGTACAATGAACAGTTCAGTCATTTTATGAGAAATGCAACCAAGAATAGCATTGAATTATAAGGTTATGCAACCGGGTTATTAGCGGTGTCGTGCAGGTTGCATAAGTAATTAATCTTTCTTTTTGTGTGAGGATTTTACTTATTTTCCATTTCAAGTAAAAAAAAAAACAAGTGAATTGAGTGACAAAAACGCTTGCAATCACACGGGTTGCAGAGGTGAATGAAAGCAAGCTTAATTGGATATGGGGTCACCCTGTCCGGCCGGCGCCTCTCGCGCACCTGCTTTTGTTATGAGAACCGACGTGATCCCTGTTATACAAACGATTTCTACTGCTTTTGGCGCGTGGAGCAAAGTTGGAAGGGAGGCGAAGCGGCGGGCGTCTGCGCGCCCTCACGGGGGTGCCGATCATTCGGCGGCAGTCTCGCGCCGAGCATCGCACACCTCGCACAGGGTTGATTTCAGACGACGCGTGGTCTGTACTTGCTTACGGATCTGCACCGGCTTTCGAGAAAAGCAAAAACTTCACTCATCACCATGGCCGTCAATCTGGTCAGCTTGACCTGTTTGCTGCTAGCAACAATAGCAGGTAGGACAGGTTTTTTAATTTAATTGATTTCTTAATTGAAATTTTTATTCTTAATTTTTTGTATGTAATTGATCTATATATTCACCAACTAAAATACACGCGGTTTAAAATAAATTAATTAAATAATATCGGAATTCTCAGACGCGCTTTTTTGAGGCGCAGAGATTTCACAAACCACTTCTTCGAAAACTTCTTTCCACCTAATCAAACTCACACCCACATGCCAAGTTACTAAACTTCACATTAGAATTTTTTATTACTTACCGTCACAAATATACAGCACTACAGCGTGTTGTTGTGAAAAACCGCACGAGTTAGCTTTTGGCGGAATAAATTTCTTTGAAAATTGAAAACAATTATGACGTATTTTTTTATGGAACTTGCGAGCAGTAAGGCGTTTTCAAATGGTATTTCTGTGCCAACTGTTATTGGTATATATGAATATGTTTTTTTTTTTTTTTAATAATTTTGTTGATTCATGATTTTTATTGTAAAATTTCCTTTTTAAATAGCACCTTCAATCTTTTGAAAATTTCTGCAACAATATAGCATTCACTTATATTTCCATTGAGATCGCATTTCTATGTGAAATATACAAAAATGAAATGTCCATCTGAACGACCCAGGCTTGCGAAAAATCCAATTTGAGAGCACCAGTCATTTTGCGTCAAGCACAAAAGTGACAAAGGAACGATTTTCTGATTGCAAGGCGCGCTCATGAAATCCTGCAAAAATCGCGCTCCAAGCTCGGAACAATGGGAAGGTGGAGAAAAAAGAGCTGTGGCGGCGAACACGTCCAACCGAAAAATGACACACACGCCGCTCTGCAAAGGAGTGATATATCGGGTCTGCATATTAAGTTTTCACGCAGACTGATGTGATAAATGATGGTGCGCGCTGATGGCGTTATATTATTCGCCGTTTCATAGCTCGTCAAGTAATGCTCCTACTTACCATTAGGCGCAGAGCGCGGGCATGCATTTTTGTAATGCTCCCAGTTTCCCACCTATAAAATTCTGTCACCGCCGGAAAAACGAGTCGACGTCGTAATATCATCGCGCTTTTTTTATTCTGTGTCACACGGAGCGAAAAATGAGCGTGCACGATCCACGTGGTGACAAAAATTTTTGTTTCAAGAAGATGATCAAAATTATCAAACATTTAATCGCAGTTCTAAATGGCATTAAAGATTTTCTTCAGATTTTTTTCTACAGTTGGAATGGAATTATGGATAAATCAAAGTTTATTATGCCTTGATATTGCGGAAATTTTTTTGTACCAAACACTCGTCTGGGCTTTTTTAAGTTAGCAGACTCCCCTGCACACAATTTTAGAGGAATTTTATCATTTATTTTTCAGCCAAATTTCCTACCAATATTTTTTTCCCCGCACTTTGTCCAAGCTGCTCGCGTCTGTGTGAAACAAAAGCAAAATGTTTCACACGAGAGCGAACACAATTCCCAGTTGCCGGCGGCTTTTGAAAGAGCAAGAGCGTCGCACATATACATACATAAATATATATTATGCTGACTGAGTCCAATATTTTCCGGCGCAACGCTCGTATGAACACTGTCTGCCTTCATTTTTATAGCCACTCAAGTGAATATATGCAAATTCCTCATTGTTTATGACGGGATGCACCCGCCGTCGATTCACCTCTGCACAAAAAAAAGCTTTTTTTGTTCACCTATGCTTGTTTTCCGCCTCTGCAGTTTCCGTAAATGAAGACGCATCACCGTAAAAAACCCCGGCAAGGGTCACACTCCAATGAACACATTTCCAGCAACTTCTTGGAGTTAATAATGTGACAGTACTCGAAGATATTTATTATACAATTGAATCATCAAACCAATGTGAACCTAAATAATGTTTTTCTGCTTACAATGTAAAAAAAGGAAAGATTTTTTTTGGAATATTTGGTAAAAACTTTAAAATAGATAAAAAAAATTTTGCACAGCTTTTTCTTAAATTAAAAGTAAGAAAATTGAAAAAGCTATTTTCCATCGGATCCTCTGTGCTGAAAAAAAAATCCAAAACAGCTCTCCAGCGGAGACACACAAAGAAATCGTTATTTTAGCCTAAATATGAGTGGCGAGGAAGTTCCGTGTGCTCTACCCGCGGGTCCTGGCTGAATTGGTTTGTTTGCGTAGCACACGTGTGTGTTTTCAACATCCAAGTTCGCACAGTCCCAGATTCCCGTTGGCCGTTGGCTCTTTCTCGTTGGTAATAGGCGCAGCAAACATATGCAAGAAAGCAAACAAAAAAGCTTTATTTACACTAGAGCTAGGGTGAACGAGTGTGAGAAAAATATCAAGTGGCTCGCTTCGGAAGTGCTTCTTTGCTCTTCCTGAATCATATTGCACTGCACACAGTGCTTTGGGGGAAACACACTGGGAGAAAAAATTGCGCTGGTGTGCTTTTGCCGAGTGCGATTTCCCGAGCGCTTTTATTGCCCACCGGCTTTGGCTGATTTATTCTGCGGCGGTTATGGGTTATGGTCCACCGAGGATAACTCTGCTGAAATTTTAATGCCTTCCGCGAAATTGTATCTTGAAATGGTGTGTGCGATATATATTCATAATCTCATAAATCACAAGTTATTTACATGTCACATTATTCTATTTTCATTCTTCACACTATTTTGGAGAATCAACACAATTTTAATCATGTTGCGACTTAAATTTGAGCGAAAAAACTTGACATTCTAAAATACAATGATAGATAGTTAAATAAATGATCAAAAATTAGACATTTCGGTACGATACAAATTTTAAACTAAATAATTTTTGAAATTATTAAAAATAATTTAAGTTGTAAAGAATGGTTCTGAAATTTATTAAAATTATTATAAATTATAATAATGAATTATAATCATTTTTGCTATTGACTTTATCTACTAATTTTAATAGCAATTGAATATTTTTCCTTTACTGTCCAATTCAATATAATTAATTAGTATTCATATTTTTCATTCTTAGTGTCTCTGAAATGCTATTAATATTACCATAGTCTCTTTAAACAGCCAATAATAATTATTTTCATTGAGAATTAAATATACAAGATGAATCAAAGCAAGTCTTTAGAAGAGCCTACAAAAATCCAGCACAAGCTCATTAAATTAAATAATTTTTATAATTTTCATGAGCAGAACATTTTTCCTCTTTTTAGGACCAATTTCCTACCCTCCCTTCGGGATTTTTATTGCTTTATGCAAAATATTACCCAGCGACTTCTGTTATTTTTGTTCTCCTCTCATGTTCTCTCTCCTGAATGTTAAAATTCTCAAGCGCACAATTATGATAATCTGGCTGCATTAATTACACACGAGGCTCAAGCGAGAGCACGCGGCGAATAAATTTTCATCATCAGAAAAGAAAGGTGGGCCCTCCTGACTTGCTTCTTGGCAATGGGCACGAAAGTCGAGAATAATCTAGTCGAGTGTGTCTGCTCGAAAATGCAAATCGCGCTAGAGGGACGTGTCATTATTGCTCTCCACGATACACCGCACATGCACCTAAGAAGGACGCCACGCAACTTTTCCACTTTTTTCTGCTCTCTCCCGCATATTGTGAATATTCATGGTGGCTTATTGCGCTAAGGTCTTGAGGGTTCTCATCCGACAAGAGTGGGCTGCTGCTTCCATATCGCTTGCACACACACGCACCCCCTTTTTATATAGTATTTTTTTTCTTAAGTCCAATGAAATTATGCCAAGGCGTGCTGCTGCAGTATGCAATATTCATGCCCGTCAATTTTCCACTTAACAGTCTCGCGTCGGTCGGTTCTCGTCGCACCCAGAAAAAGGAAACTTTCCTCTCAGCTCTCGCTTGATAATTGAAACGCCATTTGAAACGGACGGAAAATTGCTTTCTCAGCGCGCCGAGCTAGCTGTGAGACGATTTGCATTTCATCCGGAGAAAAGTGCAGCAGTTGGCGGCGCCGCAAGTTGTGTTGGCCGCAATACTCAAAGTTTGATTGTTCATAAAACTTTTTCAATTTAATTAGGAAAAAGGGTTTTGTTCGGTTAGTCTCTTGTCGGGGTGCATCACGCCCTGATAATTGCTACACTGCGCGCCAACTCTCTTTTCCATCTGTTCGTTTCTACCCCCACGGCTCCATCCGAGAACTCACTCGGAACCATTCAATATAAAACTTAATTTTATTGCTCCTCTTCTTATTTTATCTGTTTCATCACTATCGCCACTGGTGTTCTGACGATGATAGAAACTTTTTACAATTAACAGAGAACATTGAGGTTAACTTTGCAATTACGTACGGAAGGGAATGGAAAGATATTTTTCTGATCCAATTAAAAAAAAATGAAGAAAAAAACGGGACTATCTGGGTCCAACTTTTATTCTGTAATTTTCTTGAATGTTTCAAAATAAATTTTTTTGGTGGCCTCCCCGAAATTCTAAAATTTCCGATATAAAAATATGGCCTATCAAAGAAATTAATTGCATATTGTGAGTAACTGAAGCAAACTGAATGCGGTTTTAACCCTGTTCAAAACGTACAGCAAAAAAGAATATGTGGGTCGCTAAAAATATATATATTTCATCGAAATTGTTATTTGTAAAGCACAACAAATTTTTCATAAGTAGGCAATTTCAGTCTAATTATACTACAGTCGAAATAATCGAAATTATTTAAAATTATATTTGTAAAAAAATCTGTCCTACATATTTTAAAACTGAACCAACGGCCCAGAGAATAGCGACCAATTCATTCGAGTAGTGCGAAAACGCTCTTCTCGCCGCAGGAATGCCGCTCGACTGCTTGCTTTCGCAAATTGATAATGGCTGTGTTGATGTCTGTTCACGCATGGGGTTTTAAGCGATGCCAAATTACACCCGCTCAAGGCAGCGTCGAGTGTGCAATAAACAGCATGGCGCGCGGGATTTCTGCATGCGTGAGACTCTATAGGGCGCACTGATTGCGGCGGACACATTCGCTCTCGCAAGTTGTCAGCGCCGATAAACTTATTGTGCAGGCAGCAG